GAATTTAGATTCGAAATATATAAAATCTCGGCTTCAAATATTTCAAAGATACAGCTTATGATGTATAATGTGAATCACGCAATTGGGATTATATTTCGGTTAAAGATTTATTAATTCGGTTAAAAATTCAGTAATATCTGGATATATAGCCACGAATAGTTCCGAATAATCCCGAAGAGTTCCGAGTGTATATCTGGAGAAGCCTGTTTCCACCAACTTAACAATGTTATTTGACATTGGCTCATTATGCAGACAATGATAATGAAAAATAAAGTTCAAGCGATTCTGTTAAATGTATGTAATTAAAATTATTAAGTAAAAGATAAAATTAAATTAAAAAGATTTTTTATTTTGTGCAATTATGAGTATATTAAATAAGTATATTAATAATTTATAAACTGATATATGGATTCTAGAGTCCTCGAAACGAGATTTAATATACTCAGAATTTCATAATTTTAATAGAATTTTGATATATAATCTCAAAAAATATATATATATATATATAACGTCACAGTATCTATCTTCTTAATGAAGATAACATTCTACTTTGTAACTTGTAGAATGAAACGCACTTGATAAAGTTTCTAGAACTTTTAATACATATAAAATTATTTCTTCATATTTCTATTATATAATATACTTCTTTATATTATATATTATACATTTTAATGTAATATAGATTATATAATTAAAAATAAAAAAATATATATATATTAGAAATTATATTATGATGCATTTTTAAAAATGGAATATGAATTATTTACAAAAACTTGTAAATAATATTTAGATCTTAATTTGAATAAAAAAATTTGCATTTGCATTCTTGCATATAATTAAAATTTGAATTATCACGAACATGAGAGAAACACAAAAAAAAAAAAAAACAAAAAGTTGTTTTCGTGTTTAGTACAGTTTGATATTTTGTTCATTTTCCAAGAATTTTTAAACAACAGTATAGATGAAGTTTTTTTTCGAATTATATACTAAACCACATTATTCACGTGAATACAGAGTCGAATGAAGAAACACTTCATTAAAAAAATTATATTTTTTTAAAAATATAATTCATATAGATAGATTTTTATAATATTGAATACTAGATATTTCAAATACATTCATTTATATTAAATATAGATTATATCATATGTTCAAAAACAATAAATTCTTTTATTTTATTTTTTCATAAGATTCTAAGATAAAATTCTGAAAATAATCTGAAAATTTTCCAATTTTTCCAACCTAATAACAATTTCCATGGTTCGATAAACTTTTCCCATGGATTAACGTAGAAAGAGAATCGTTTCGACAGACATCTGTCCTAGGCAAGGAATTGCTACTGTGCCGCGAGTCGATCAATTCTCATCGTAAAGCATTTAACGTAATTTCCACCGACACTGATTGATCGTGGAACGACAGTTCGATTCGCTTTGAGTTATGTTAATGATTCAAAATTGCCTTTCGCGCAGCGCGAAACAAGTGTCCTCCGCGGAACAACGCTCGTCTCTCTAATTAATCTATGCTAATACATGATTGGTTAATCGGTTGAACTGCGTTATACGGAATTAGTTTACTCGGAAATGAAACTGAGATGGGTTAATTACGATTTCCATAATTTTGAAAACAAGAAATTTGCATACTATTCAATACGATCATTAAATATTATCATTACTAGATTTAAGGAAAATAATGTGTAACGTTTAATGAATTCTCTGTGAGAGCAATAATTAAATTCTTCGAAAATTAAATTTTGAAAAATGATTTTTTAGTTTTGTTGAATAGAAAATCAAAAGTCGAAATTTGGATAAAAAATTTAATTTTAGAATGCAAAATTTAAAATTCATTGATAAAAAATTCATTGTTTTTTCACGATGTAAAATTTAAAATTTAAACAAGTATCTAAATATCTTTAAATTTAAATTTAAAATCTAAACTATTAAAAATTGAAAATCCAAATTTATAATTGAAAATTTATTTTAAATTCTATGAAAATGTTTTTATTGAATGTATGTAAATTATGACAATGATACAAAAATAACCGAACCATAAGATAGCAATGAAAAAAGATTTCTGAAGAAATGTCAGAAATAAAAAAAGATCATTTGAATAACACAGCATCATAAATTTTCTATTGATCAACAATAAAGAAAAAATACGATTAAAATATTTTTTTGAACATTTAACGATTCTAAACAAGTATGCATAAAAACATTTCAAATCTTTATCAATATTTAAAGGAAAGAAAAGAAAGAGAAAATAGAATATTTTAAAAATACAATTTCTTGAAAATGTATCATATCGATTTAAATTGGAAAAAAATCTTATCTATCTAATATTTAAACGTTCCATAAATATTCCAATCAATGTGAAATGCAAAATTTCTAATCTAAAAAAAATTTAATAATTACAGATCAAAAAAAAAAAGATATCAAATATCTTATTAGAATGATTCGTTGCAAATGGAAATTCGCGCAAAAGTTCACGCAATGTCAAGATTAATAACAGGTGAGGTCCCACACAATTGTGGCCGCATTCATTAAATTGTAATTATAAAGTCGAAGATCTGTTTATAGCTTCGTGATTCATCACTTTGGCCGATAGCGTTCTGCTGGGCAGGAAGTGTAATGAGTAATAGTCTCCATCAAGAGAAGGTCTATCGGCGAAACTACTGATCGTACGCCCATTTGCCCACCCATATGATTCCCAACCATTGTTTAATTCGCTATATTCAATTACTAGACGTTTCGTGCGCTCCAACATTATTTCCCCTACTCATTCGACCGAGTTGAACGAAATATCACAATAGAGGCCTTCAACACTGCGTCCGCGAGATAAAGGAACGCTCGACTACAAAGAATAAATTCTAACCGTCCACAGTTTAGAACACAAGGCAATGTTATGCTCGAAATGGCATATGAACACGTCGATGAGTTGGTAGAAAGCTTCATTGCCAGTTCTGTCACGATTCAATCGTATACGAATATAAGTATATGCGGTGAAGGCTGTTACTGCCATGCTACGTCTTCTATAATATTGATAGAAAGATTT